AAAAAAAAATTTAAAAAAAAAAATAAAATTTACTGGGACCAAAGATAAAAGTAGGTTGGAATGACCTTGAAAGTACAGATTTACAAATATAGTTACTATACTTGGTATTGGAAAAAAATATATTTAATATGTAAATAGATGAAACAAGGGTACCGAAAGTCTCCACTGAAGTATTAGTCTTAAATATATGTATATTAAATACGTGCTCCAGGGGCACCTGGCTTGCTCAGTTAAGTGACTAATTCTTTGACTTTGGCTCAGGTCATGATCTCACAGTTCATGAGTTCGAGCCCCACATCAGACTCTGTGCTGACAGCACAAAGTCTGCTTGGGATTCTCTGTCCCCTCTCTCCCTGCCCCTCCCCTGCTCATGCTTGTGCACGTGAGCACACACTCTCTCTCCCCTGCACCTGTGTAGTTTAATTGTCAGCCAAAGATTTAAGCAGAACTTATGCCCAGATTTTGGGGCTCATCCTTTCTACAGTTCTATTGCTGCTGGGATTTCCCCATAAATTTCTACCTGCCCTGTCAGCTCCAAGCTCTGTTATCTAATAATTCAAGACAATAAAACTTCAGCTTTCTGCCACTATACCTACGCACGAGTCACAAAAGGCATTTGACCAATAAAAGCAAAAAAACTCACAAATCTTAACCGGTGTATTTGTCTTTCAAGAACAGGCCCCTCTCATGCTTCTATTTAGTTGTGTGTTTTGTTTTTCGTTTTTTGTTAGACTTCCTGACCTCTGTCACCTCAAACTGGTAAGACTGTGGGGTTTCTGCCACATGAGATCCAAGGACTGGGGAAACTCCCTCAGGCAAAAAAAAAAGCTACAAACTTTGCAATGCTTACTCATTGCAGACATGGTCCTTTAAGGGTGACCTCTCGTTTCTACCTGCTTTTAATTACTTTCTATTGCCTTCATATAGTTTGTCTAGGTTTTCTTTTTTTTTTTAATTTTTTTTTTTCAACGTTTATTTATTTTTGGGACAGAGAGAGACAGAGCATGAACGGGGGAGGGGCAGAGAGAGAGGGAGACACAGAATCAGAAACAGGCTCCAGGCTCCGAGCCATCAGCCCAGAGCCTGACGCGGGGCTCGAACTCACGGACCGCGAGATCGTGACCTGGCTGAAGTCGGACGCCTAAGGACGCCTAACCGACTGCGCCACCCAGGAGCCCCAGTTTGTCTAGGTTTTCTAATTGTTATTCTCTGGGAAGGGTCACTCACTATTTCATTCTGCCATTATATGGAATTAGAAACCATATAACATACTTTTACATGCTTGAAATATTTCATAAAACATAATATGGTAAAACACATATATGTACACACACACCCTAATAATATCTTCCTGAATGTGCAGGGGTGATGCTATGCTCATAATCTTGAATGCAGTAATGGTTTCACATGTACACACTACGTATTGAAGCTCATCAAATTGTAAGCTTTGAATTTGTGTAGTCGATTTGTGTCAATTATACCTCAATAAAGCTTCAAAAAAAGGGGGGAGTTAAAAATCTCAATGACTGAAACGGTTTAAGTTATACATAAGTAGTACACTCCACAAACCTATGGCTATGGATTGGTATTTATAACTTAAGAAACATACTCTAGGGGTGCCTACGTGGCTCAGTCGATTAAGCATCTAGCTCTTGATTTCAGCTCACATCGTGATCTCACGGTTCATGAGTTCGAGTCCCATGTCGGGCTTTGTGCTGAGAGCACAGAGCCTGCTTGGGATTCTCTCTCTTTCCCTCTCTCTCTGCCCCTCCTCTGCTCATTCTCTCTCTCTCTCTCAAAATAAAGAAATAAACATTTTAAAAAATAACGTAAAGAAACATACTCTAAAATTGAGAACCAGTAGGAATATGCAAGTTTTGTTTGTATCTAACAATCCGGTTTTCTGACAAGAACCTGTAAAATTTAGAATTACGTCAAATTTAGAAAAGAATACTGAGACTGTAACTATATCAAAGTTATGCCAGAGTTATTAATATCATTATTTGGGATTTAATTTTTCTTTATTTTAGAAGTTTTACAATTTGAATTGGAAATCTAACTTATAGTTATCAGGGAAAGGTTTTGCCAGCTTCTTCATATCCTTTTACAGTGGGATGTAAGCTCAGTGAGAGCAGGAATATTTTCTGTTTTATTTATTGATGATTCCCTAGCACACACTAGCACTTGGCATACCGTAAGGGCTCAGAAATATTTTTTGAATTAATGAATTAAAAAGCTAAAATGTTACAAAATAATTTCAGAAAATCAAAGGAGTTCTCTGAGAGGTTTAAGGCAACAGAAATCAGTTTTGTCTAGAGTGGGAAAATATTAATCAAATGGTT